GAGTCGACTTAATCCGTTTTACCACTTCGCTACTGATTTCAGATTATCAAAATAAAAAAAAGCAACCAAGATCATGTTCGAAAGATAATCCATCCGGGCCTTAAGGGAAAGTGTAAAATTATCAATACCGGTTGACGATATGATGAAGAAGACTTTCTCGTTATTACTCCTGACAAAACTTTTTATTTCTCCCTCATTTCATATTTTTGGGTGGCAAGTGCTGGTCGCCAAATGTCAGGCGGGCAAAGGCACGAGGTTAAATGCGCGGCCGTTTGAAAAAGAGTATAATTGGAATAGGAAGACGGAGAGGAGGCAAGGTCGTGCAGCCACTCGAGAACAATGATGACAATCCTGTTATGCTATCTCCGCGTAATGAACAGCGCTGCGTTTTATCGTGAAGTAATGAATATTAATAAAGTACTCTTGATTAACGCATTTTTCTGTCGTCAATGATAGCCGGGGTAATGCTACCGTGCCACTACGTGGAGAGCAGAAAGAGGGGCTTGGCTCCGAGTACACGATCAATACTTAAAGGCGATAGCCGACGCGATGGTGGCCCAATTGGGCATTTTTCGTTGTTGTAAAAATAATGAAAATACTGGGATTCACGGCTCAGGGAGTCTGTGTTCATCGGGGTTTTCTGAAGGCCCCGGCGAACGATTCGGGGGGGAAAATATGGAGAACATGAGGGATTAAAACGGTATTATTATAAAATTATTAGTTTTGCAATTATACATGACTTTTTCGACGAATCACCAATTCATTCTCACAGATTCGAGTGAAATTCAGTAGCGAAGCGGTAAAACGTTTAAGTCGACTGGTCTCCTAGTTGAGTTTTTGAGGAATATGTCCGAATCTAAGGGAGATAGCGCAATTTTCGTAATACATTTGTTGTAGCTCTCAATCGGCTCTACAAAAAAGGTCATAATAAAAATTTCGCTATCTCCCTTAGATTCGGAAATATTCCTCAAAAACTCAACTGGGAGATGAGTCGACTTGAACCGTTTTATCACTGTGCTACTGAATTATTCTCTGTAATTGGGTAAAAAGCAGGAAAATCCACTTGATGATGATACACTTGATGATTTATTAATCAGCGAGATTATCGAGTTAACACGAGTGTCACCTGCAGTGTCAATGCGATGGCCCACGCGTGGTCGTGGCAGAGTCCAATAACCCGGCCGAATAATTTTCTATTTAAATACTCAAGGGCGAAAAAATGCGCAGAGGGTATTGGGGCTAATTCGTACGGTCTTGGGAGCAAGGCCGCGTGCCAATACCGCCGGTGGAGAGACAATCCGATGTATTGGGGCTCAGATACACGGGGTCACGCACCCAGTAAACTTGACGTTTGCGTTCATCGTGTTGGTTTCTTGCTTGAACACTCGGTAACTCTTGTATTTGTCGAATCGAATTGGATTTTTCCTCGGTGGGGGTCACTGGTCGGTGCGAGCCACTGTCGTTCTATGGGTCAAATGGTCGAATTGACGGCCAGATTGGCAGACGTCAAGTTGCGAGTTTCAATCAATCATTTAGAGAAAATTGGCAACTGGAGGTTCGGAATATTAATAGGCCGTGACTATTCGCACCATTGCGTGAATCACTCCCGTACACTCCATACACTCCACGCATGCGTGAAGTTTGTGTGTTTCACGCAGCGAATTTTCATACTGCTGTGTGTTTCACGCAGTTGTATTTTTATATCTTCACCATAGTTTACTGTGATTTCACGCAGTTGTATTTTTATACACATGTGTGTTTCACGCAGTTGTATTTTTATACATCAGGATTGCGTTTTTCCACTTCCTAGGCCTTATACAAGATAAATTGAAATTAATTTTTTTTTGCATTTTCGTTTTTCGCGATTATCTCGGAAACTATGGAGATAGAGCCTTAAACCCTATTCCATTCGATTCTGAGGAAAGGTTGTTGGTGGACGGGATGCATCCTCACACAGAAATTATATTGGCATTTTGCGTATGGACAATGAGAGATAGAGCCTTAAAACCAAATTTGGGTCCCCTATAGGCAAGTGGATGACTCAGAATTGCGTTTTTCCACTTCCTAGGCCTTATACAAGATAAATTAAATTAATTTTTTTTGGCACTTTCGTTTTTCGCGATTATCTCGGAAACTATGAGATCCGATCAATTAGCCCCTCATGTATAGATATTCCAAATTTTTATTTTTTTCCTCATTGAAGTAGTTTTGAAAAAAATTGCGAGCTAATAAAAAACATTTGCTAGTTAGGACTTTTTTTAAATAAATTTTTGAAAAATCTCCCCTGAAAAAAAAGGCGTTATCCCCCCTACTTCATTATTTCCAAAAAAATTTATCACCAATCGGTAGCAAATTGTTTGAAGATTTTTGCGAGTTAAGAAAAAATCGTCAATGCACTCCTATTATTGTGTAAATTAACAATTCCAATTTCAACTGAAAACCAGAGTTGATGACCAGAGTTTGTAGCAGAGATGTCAGACAAGATATGAATGTTTTTTTTGGCTCAAATGAAAGAGCGGGTCGAGAAATGGCGTGCAGAAGTCTTTAAAGATGACAAATTCTCTTTAAAGATGATGTCTGTTTTCAATTGAAAGCAGATTGTGACAACATTGTTGGCAGTCTGAGATAGAACGTGGCGTCTAGGAGTCTCCCCTGGTTCAAAACCATCTTTAGAGGTCCTAGCATGCCATTTCTCGACCCGCTCTTTCGTTTGAGCTCAAAAAAACATTCATATCTTGTCTGACATCTTTGCTACAAACTCGGGTCTTCAACTCGGGTTTTCAACTGAAGGCAAAATTTTTGAAAAAATGCGTACAATAACAATTACGAATTATTTTTTTGAAATTCAACCCCTACACAGCTAATTTCGTTATTTTTTAAATAAAAAATTGCACCTTCCATGTAAAATAGCCCGAAAAATGTTTCTGAAAGAATCGAGAATACATTTAAAATATTTTGAAGATAATTTTTCTGCCTATTTTACATGAATGGCGCGAATTTTTATTTTAAACAAGATGAAATTAGCGGTGTAGGTGTCAAATTTCAAAAAACTATTTCATAATTATTATTGCACACATTTTTTTAAAAATTTTGAAAAAACGAAAACCTTTGTAGCTCAAAAATTGGAGGCCCTGGACTATTTTCAACATTTTAAGCGTGTGCAGGGCAAACGAACAATAAACGATTAATTTTTTGCGCTAATTATTCATTTTTAAACACATATAATCGATCTTGAATGTATGAGAAATCTCACTCTAACCCTTAAAAGTGTTTATTTGTAGATTGAGTTGCGAGAGAGAAACCAAGAAATTTTAATTTTTGGGGATCGTTTAAGAAATTCCTGGAAATTCTGAGCATGAACCAGTTCATTATGGTTTTGAAAATGGGTTTTTAGGGTGAAAAATCAATTGCACAGAATTTCAAAATGACAATTATTTTCTGAATCCTTCAAAAAAATAATTCAAAAAATTTAATCCATTAAAATGAATGAAACTCTCTCATTACAGATTTAATACACTGTACCAACGAGCCGAATGTCTCGATACCCCAACTCGCCAATCTCCTGGTGGAACGTTCGCAGAACACAAACTGGACAGTTGTATTCAAAGCCCTAATTACGGTACACCATATGATGTGTTATGGAAACGAGGTAAGAATGCCTTAGTATCGCATAAATTGCTCCCTGGATTTTTATTTTGCCTCTTTCAGACCATTAATTTATGGTTCGTTTCGCAGAGATTCACGCAGTACCTCGCTTCGAGCAACAGCACGTTCCAGCTCAGCAACTTCCTGGACAAGAGCGGTGTGCAAGGTAAAGAGTCTGACTTCGTACGATTAATTCCAAGAGATATTTTGAGTTTTAATTATCTGTACACCCGAGTCCACCTGCTGATGTTTCTTTCTCAAATCGAGTTCATTTTTTAAATCAGGAATTCTGGATAGGATTAACGTTCCGGTGAATGAACTAAGCCTGTTTTTAAGTAATTCAATACATTTATTCGAGGTTTTTTCGTTGATTCTTATGCTTTTGGTGAAGTAGGATGGAATGATCAGGCAGGAGTGACTTTCAAGAAATTGAATTTCAATAAATTCACTCTACACTGACAAAAACAAATGTTTTTGAGAAATATGAATTCTTGAAATTTTTCATTCCGGCGCACTCTCTGCATGTTTGGCACAAAAAAATCCTTTTTTGATAATTTTCAAAAAACTATTTTCTTGGCACAAGTAAGACTTGTTTGAGAACTTTACAAAATTACTTGACGAAAGTTTTTCATTTTTTTATATAAGTAATTTCTCAAAAAACAGTTGTTTTCTCAGTGCAAACTAATGAATTATTTTTCCTAATCCCCATTCACTTCACCTTCGCATTTCCTCAAAGATCTCAAGATTTTTCAGTGTTGAGTGTTTATTCACTGATGTCCACAACCCACAATCATACCACTTAACATCGCTCCGCGAATAGTAACTAGAAAATGATCTATCGCGGGTAAACAATGTGCTAAACATAACTCGTCTACATATTCATCCTCTCAATTCTCTGTCATCACTCACTCACGAATTGAATCGCAAACGACTTGACAAATGCATACCGATAAACCTCGTCGTATTGTCAATGCATGAGGAATGATACCTCAATTGTCCAGAGCCCTGAAATTTTCAAAATAAAACATATCCCCTGGAAACGTTAAACTGCACACAATTAATTTATTTTTCCATGTGCCTGTCTCTGACTACTTTACTAACCTCGGGTTATTTTATCTTTGTTTGGGAACAGCAGGAGCACGTGTTGGTGAGTGTCTAATGCTAATCAATGACTAAATTAATCATTAACATTTCTGTTTGTACAAGACATTAATTAATCCCTCTGTCCGGAGATACTCGGAGCCAATTTAATTTGTTTTTCTTGACTTTAGGGTACGATATGTCGCCTTTTATCAGACGATACGCTAAATACTTGAATGAGAAGGCGATGTCTTACAGAAGTGTTGCCTTTGATTTCTGCAAAGTCAAGAGAGGGTAAATTTCCACTGCATTATCTCGTTGCTTCAGAGCTATCACGAGTGAAAGAATCGTGTGGAGATGGCCTGTAGGACGTTCTCATGGGTTGATTCTATAAGAAAGTTTATAGGGGAGAGTGTTTGACGCAATTCAAGCAAGAAAAAATTTTTTTCAATTAAATTTTTTTTTCCAACTTTTTTTCATTCTCGGGAGTATTGATGAGAATAATCATTTCCCACTCTACTAAACGGAAAATTATTCTTCTCATTCAAATTATTATTATTCTCATCAAATTATTATTCTCCAAAAAAAAAAATTAATAAATTTTTTTTTCTTGAATTGCGTCAAACAGTCGTTTTTTGACTGTTTCATTTTGCCCCACTCTCCCTTAAGTTTACCATATACCATGAAATTGTGAAAATTCTCCATATCCCAGCGCTTAGAGGAATCGTCACCCCTAAGAATGTCTTATAGAGCATCTCTACACGATTTTTTCAATTTCTTAATAAATTTTTTATTTTCTATAGGAAAGAGGATGGCACATTACGTACAATGAACGCCGAGAAACTACTCAAGACATTACCAGTGTTGCAAGCACAACTCGATGCACTCCTTGAATTCGACTGTTCTGCTAATGATCTTACGAACGGCGTCATCAGTATGTGCTTCATGCTCCTCTTCAGAGACCTGATAAGGCTCTTTGCTTGTTATAACGACGGAATTATAAATTTATTGGGTGAGTCAAATAAAGTACAAGTGTTCATCTCTCAAGAGGCCACTTCAGGATGACAATATCTCCACATGATTAATATTCCATTAAAAAATTGATTTCTTCTTTTGCATTTTTTCCTGAATTTTTTATATTACAGAGAAGTATTTTGATATGAATAAGAAGCAGTGTCGCGATGCCCTGGATTTGTACAAAAAATTCTTAATACGGATGGACAGAGTTGGAGAATTTCTCAAAGTTGCTGAGGTAAGTAAGACCTTCAACAACGGTTTAAGTCGACTCATCTCCCAGTTGAGTTTTTGAGGAATATTTCCGAGTCTAAGGGAGATAGCGAAATTTTCATAATGATATTTGTTGTAGCTCTCAATCGGCTCTACAAAAAAGATTATAATAAAAATTTTGCTATCTCCCTTAGATTCCGAGATATTCATTTAAAACTGGTCAATAATTTCTCGTCGAGTGAATTAAATGTATTATTTGCGATGCAGAATGTTGGCATCGACAAGGGAGATATTCCAGACCTGACGAAGGCACCGAGCAGCCTACTGGACGCCTTGGAGCAACATCTGGCTTCTCTAGAAGGGAAAAAAGGCTCGGCAGCTAACACACCCACTCAGTCCGCCAGGTATATACACTTTTCTCGCTAATAACGCTCACGATATTGATTATAAAATGCGGTGTTGATTATACGAAAGTTAATATCGATTTGAGGAATTGAACTGTTGATATCAGTCAGATAAGTTTAATCGATAATTAAGTTTATTCAATCCTCACCTGTTTGTTATTTATTTTGAGGGGATACACTGCCGATTCTATTCACCTTCATTCACACTATTTTTGTTGATTGATGGTATTTTTGGTTCTAGTTTGAGTGAAATAGTGACGTTTCAGCGATCAGAACTCGATGAATATTCTGTGGCATTTGAAAATTTCGTTTGTTATATTTTTGTTTCCTTTTTTTTTGCTTACACTGTTCCACATGATGTAGTCTTCATTTTTAGATCGTTTGAGATTAAATGTAGAATTTTAAAAGCAGTGATAGCTTGTAAAATTGATGTATTTTGTTGTTACATTTTTTTTATATCACACGCTGGAAAGATACATAAGACAATTATCACACGTGTGATCAGTAGGGAATGTCGGGGTAAAATGGGCACGAGGGGTGAATTGAACACCCGATTTTTTAAAACGACTAATTGATTTTTATTTGAAAAATCGAAAGGAAAAGGGGAGACTTTCACCTGTCGATGAAAACTTTGGTTTCAACTCAATAAATTGTCTTCAAAGCACTGTGATTTTCTCTCTAGATCACTCAGAATTTATTTTTTGCGCTTGTCAGTCTAAGTATGGACAAAAAATTAAGCAGCAAAAAATGATTTTTCCATTTTTTATTCATGTGAAGCTTCGGGGTGTCTGTTTTACCCCAATTGCCCCTATAAATTCGTGTTTGTGTGTGGCAAATCGCTATTGTATCAATTAGTGACCACGTGGCATGTCCACAAATAGTAATTTAACTACCGAAGTAAAGATACATTTAGAAAATCATATTTTCTACTGTAAATGTTGCTTGGACTTTGAAAATCTCAGGATTCAGATAAAAATATATTCAATGCAATAGTGTTTTCATCTGCACGTCGATTATTGATATAAATACACTCGCGAGATTTACACACAGACACGCAGCCCATGCATTACTCATAATTTTTCAATGTATTTTTTGCATCTATACGTACTACACAATTTTTTTTTGTTTTTTGTTTGTCTTTCTCCTTCTTAATTTTCAAAATTATCAACATATCCCGTAACAAATCCTTGATCATCCGAAAAAAAATCTATTCTGGATTATTGAATCGGCCATTCCCGTTTATCCGTACACGAAAAAAAAAACCGCAACCCCCATCATTGCCCCCAAAAGCAGCAATAGAACGAATGTTAAGTCGGGAGTGTCCGCACTATCTTCCACCAGTACGGCGTTCGGAACAGCAGCTAGCAATGCACGTCTTGATCAGACTGGGAATGGACATATTGATGAGGCGTTGAGGCAACAGGCACTTGCTGAGGAGGAGGCTGCCATGAACCAATACAAGGTGAGTGAATTAACTCAGTTTTTCTTTTTAATTGTTCGTTAATAACAGGGATAGGCAAATTCATAATATTTAATTACCATTCAATATTGCAGCCATCAATTAGTTAACATTATTCTCAAATTTTTTGAGTACTTAAGTATCATCAATTCAAATATTCCAATTTTTAACTATTTTATCAATCAGTAATTGAAGTCGGAAGATTGATGATTATTCGGGTAATCGAAAATCCCCTTTTAAGAAATTTGAATTATTTACTTAGTGGTAAATTTACTGTTTCATATTAACAAATTTTAAATACATCATTATTCGAAAAAAATGTAAACGGTCTTGACAGGTTATTTGTTGAACAACACTCGGAAAAAGAGATTTTGAAAAAACTCAATCGATATCTTATAATGCGAGTGTTATTTGCAAATGGACTGTTCAAAAATTCCAATGATTTTAGGCAAAAGTACAGTCGCCATCCGGAGGACCGAGCACCAATCCATTCCTTGCATCACCAACAGGTGGAAATCAACCAATCGTTGATTTATTCAGTTCTGCATCTGCTAATGAGGTACGAGAAAAAAATCGATGAGTATTAAATGTTTTTAATGGTTAACGTTAAAATTAAAATTGTAGACTTTGATTTGCTTGAAATGAAGTTTATTCAATGCAAATAACTACTACTATTTCCCTCGGTGTTCCTCATAATTGTGAAATTCTCATTTCTAGGCTCAAAAAGCTTCAGACGATTTGCTCCAACTGGCGGGCAATCCCTTTGCGGATATGTTCGGAGCCCCTCAGCCTGGGGCTCCAGTCCAACCAGCCCCGCCAGGAAATACCATGTGGATGGCCAACGGTAATGGTAAATAAACAAAGCCTCAACTACATCACTCACTACTCGACCAAAGCACTGTACTTTATTTATATTTTACCGCACCCATACGTTTTTATTTTCCTCTTGTTCATTTATTTTCGTAGGTTTCGTCGCACCAACACCGCCAGCAAGTAATAACTTTGTTACAGATAACAACTTCTCGTCCGTGTTCGGTGGTCAAGATCAACAGACGAGTAAGTAAATTCATGATAATCCCATACCTGTACATACTCCTGTACAGATACTACAAGAGGTCTTTAGGTTTTGTTATGAGCTTTACAAGCACAATTGTAATAACACTATACAAATTTTTAATTAACACTATATTTTTCAACATTCTCAACTCGTGGAGGTACTCTCTCATGTTACATACAAATATGCAGCTTTTACACCGTACGATTGGACTTTATAATTGGACAAATTATGACTCTTGAGGTAGTTCGATGTACAATTGGAGAAGACTGCACTAAAAAACGTGATTAATTATTAATTTTTAGAAAGGTTTCGTGCATGCAATGAGAGAAATGTGTTGACTGTTGGAAATTCTTTCAATTTGGCAATAGAGATCGGCACAAATATTATTGTCACCGATATTTACACCGCAAATGCATATTTTTTACTTAATAGCTAATAACGTGTAAATATTTTCCGTATACCGTATCAATGAGTAATAATTAGCAATAAAAATTATCATTTATCTCGTCAGGAATTACACTTGAATATTTTAGAGTAGTCATTCAATCAATAATGAAATCGAAAATATTTCTCGATATTCATCTAATTAGTAATGAAATCTATACCATTAATTGAATATTTTTAGGGAAGAGCTAAAATAAGATAACAAGTTAAAATGGACAATGAACAAGAAATTAGCAGTTAGGTAGTTAGGTGCATCATACGGCAATAATTTTTCAATGAGGAAGAGAGTTTATATAGTGTTTCACATCTTGTCACGTTAAAGGATATTATTGGATACGATTTGCATCTATTACTATGATAATGAAAAATTGATTTGGTTTCATTATTCATGACGAAAGAAATTGGGATTTTCTGGTTTTCATTTTCCATTGATATAATAATGAAAATAAATTTTGTACCATTATTGATTGATAAATTATTTGTTTCTTTTTTCACTTTCACTTCTCACGAGTATCGCAATGAAAACAGCATTTGATATTATTATTCATTACGAAAAAAATCATAACTCAATTTTTTTATTCAACCACTGATATGGTAATGAAATATTAATAATGGAAATTATTTTCCTGCCGATCTCTGGCAATAGTTGCCTGCATTGTCACAACTTTCTAACAGTGTTTCACGAAGAAAACTCCGTAGTAAAGAATTCTCTCAATGAACGATACCCTATCCACTTTGCATGAAATATTTACGTAACTCACATCCAGAGAAATGGTTTATTTGAATTAGACGAACTTCATTTGAACCAAATGAATGGATTCTCCCAAAATTCCAGTCAATCGTACTACCTCAGAGTGAAAAAGACCAAAAGAGAAAATAAAAAAAAAAGAAAATTAGCCAAAAAATGAACTTTCTGCGCAAGCTGCCGCTCAGGGATCGGCCGTACCTAATCCTTTCATGGCGGATTTTTCCGCTCCCCAACCGGTTAATACAGCATCGAGCATCGGACTGTTCGATCAGTCATCAGCATCAGATCAACAAAAGGGCGGAGACCTTTTCAGTGCTGGGGGACAGGCTGATCTATTTGGTGGTGAATCAGCAGATAATAAAATTGATACGAGTGAAATGGATTACTCTGGTGTGCAATCAGGCGTTCAAGTCACTGGTATAAATGCCAAATCAACTGCTACTCCACCACCAAGACCGCCTCCTCCCGCAGCTGGTAGTAATGATACACCACGTGCAGCATCACCATCGGGTGGTGCAACATCGAGTAAAAGTGCATTCGACGATTTGAATGATAGTATACGTATGGCTCTGGGTGGGTCTCCGTCTCGTCCATCGCCCGCTGTGCAACAACCACCACACGTGCAACAAATAACACAACAGCAATTAACACAACAGCAAGGCTTTGGAGTGTTTGACGTGACTGGTGGTGGTGTACAAGCGGGAACTGGACAAACCGTTGTCGGTACTGTAACCGGTTATGGTGTCCCTACTACCCAAGTACCCGTTGGATACGGCTCTCCGGTCAAGCAGCCAATGGCAGGTGACGGGAATTAACAGATTTATTCTTGAGTTTTGTGAGGAGGGCAATTCATCGATATCAGCTGACTCCATTAGGCCATTTACATGAATGAAATTTCACTCTGAATTTTGGAGGAATGGCACATTTTTTTATTCATTTATCATCGCGAGAATTTTACCCCTCACTCGACTCAAGCATAAATAAACTTGTATTGCCTTTTTTTCGTTCACACATTTGACGCTTTAATTTCAGTTCATTGTGCATGGATATTTTTAGTTATTTTTTCAACTATTCTAACGCACCAATTTTCTGATACTGATCGCATCGAGCCCAGCCTCAATACCATGATTATACTCAGTGATAACTCTATTGAGAGCAATCAATAACTTCGTGGCTCTGATTGTGGGTGTATTGTCTGTGTTCTCTGAGGATCGGATCGGATTCACGACTCAATTTCACTCTAACTCGCACTCTGTCATGAGTAGTAGGCTAATTGCAGTCACGATGATTACAATGGGTATTCGTTCGAGATTTTTTTCTTCTTTTTTTTGTGGGACATAATGCTTTCTCGGCTTGTGCGTTAATCCAGCTATTGCTTAGGTTTCGATGGTGTGGGCTCGGTGTTAATGCCATCTTCTACGACTGTGTCTGGAGCTAATAACGTTTCAGCTGCTGGACAAACTGGGGCTTCTACTGGGGGGAGCAAAGTACTCACTGGGGATCTTGACAGCAGTTTGGCGAGTCTCGCGCAGAATCTTAGCATCAATAAGAGTGCACAGCCTCAAGTCAAGTGAGTTGGTTTTTTTTTTCATTTTTAAAAACGTGCTTTTATGGTTTATTGTGAACTTGGCAATGTCTGAAATTTTTTCCTCCACGGAGGTACATTTAAAGTGTAGTGTACAAAGAATTGTGCACTACTTTTTTTTAAGGGGAGCTACTAGGAGTTTTTAAAGTCGCGGGCTATTGGAATGCGATTTCTCGTACATTGATGATCGATTATATGTCTAAAAATAAATAATTAGTGCAAAATATTAATTAGTTATTGTTCGTTTGCAAAGGTTTTTTCCAAATTTTTGAAAAAATGTGTACAATAACAATTACGAATTATTTTTTTGAAATTCGACGCATACACCGCTAATTTCGTCTTGTTTAAAATAAAAATTTGCGCCATTCATGTAATATAGGCAGAAAAATTATGTTTAAAATATTTAAAGATATTTTTTCTGCCTATTTTACACGAATGGTGTAGATTTTTTTTTTAACAAGATGAAATTAGCGGTGTAGGAGTTGAATTTGAAAAAAATAATTCGTAGTTATTATTGCGCACATTTTTTTAGAAATTTTGAAAAAACAGAAACCTTTGTAGCTCAAAAATTGGAGGCGCTGGACTAATAATTCGCCAATGAACAGAGATTCATGTCAATTAGACTGTATTCTCAATGGAAATCTCTCGATTTTCACAATCTCAGTGAAAATGGCCTTGAACTATTCGAAATAAAAAATTAATCTCGTTCCATTATTGATTACAAAAATAATTGGAATTTCGTTCTGTTCATTAACCATTATGTAATAATGAAAAATGAAGAAAATTATTGAACTGCAATAAATTGTTCTTGTGGCGTAGGGGAATGCAATGGAACTCGCCAAAAAATACAGCGAAAACTGGAGGACCTGCTGGCTGGACACCTCAACCGATGGCAGCCACCACTGGTGCCGGCTATCGACCGATGGTGAGAATAAAATAACACTGCATTCATCACGATTCAAGCACGTTACATGTTTACAATTTTACTTCAATCGGTTTTGTACGAATACCTCAAATTACTCGAAACATGAGCAAAAAACAATAGATTGATTCATTGGTTTTCGAAATGTCTAGAAATTCTCGAGAACTTTTTTTTTATAGATTTCGAAATTTTATTATTGAAATCCGTAATGAGTTGAGCACAGGCTTATTCACCCTCTTTTAGCGAGCTTAAGAAAACAGAACGAGGATTGAGGGAAAAAATCGAGCTGGTGGGAATTTTTTAGATTTTCGGTTTTAGTTTTATCATATTGGCATATTTAGTTTGATGCATGGCACGGCATATGGCATGTTGCCGGCTGTTCCAGGGCCAAGGAATGACGCAACTTCCTCCAACCACCACTTTTGGCTTTCCCACCCAGCCCGCACCACTGGTGAGTTTCGCAGCACATTTCTTTTTTTTTCTCCCATGAATACTCCATTGAGCACATTTTCATACGTTTGCTGATAGTTTCTTCTAGTAGAGTAAATAATTACATTAATATTGATTGATTAATTAATTAATTAATAAGGCTACTAACTCATCGATGAATGCAACAATCGATCATGCATTTATTTTCAATTACTGTCACCAATTGATTAATTTACCTGAGGACAAGTAAGAAAATGAAGAAAATATTTTTGTAGTCACTATTAATGATATTGATAATGAACTTGATTAATATTGGCTTTGGTACTCTTGTAATTAATAATTAAGAAAATCATATTACTCGTGGCCTCTCGCCTTCTGCATAGGGTATGCAAGGTATGCCAATGGGAATGCAGGGCATGAGGCCGATGATGGGTGGTATACCAGGTGCCCCAGCAGCCCCTGGTGGGATGATGGTGGCCAGTGGTAATGCGCCTATGATGATGCCAGGTAGTAACCCTATGATGGGAGCAACAATTCAACAACAACCGCCCCAATCAAATCAACCCCAGGGTAATGCGGTTCAACTTGATCCCTTTGGTGCCCTGTGAAAGGACTAGGAATAGGTACCTCTATTATCTAACTTCAATTAATAATTCATTGTTATTACATTTTTCTCATGCTCGATTAACTTTCGTGTCGTTTTCGTGTTTTTTTATTTTTATTTTTGGTGATTGGAAATTAATTACTAATTGATTCTCATGATCACAGCTGCATGGAGGGGACGAATCTAGTGGAAATTGACTTGTGTGTTGCAAAAGAAATTGTGCATTGCGTTTTTTCAAGAAGAAAAAACCAGGAATTGAACTCTGAACCTTTCGATTACAAAATTATTTCGTTATCGACTGGACTAATCGCACGTAGTCCATGAATGCTCACAGATTTTGATGCCAATCTGACTATATTCTACACAAAAAAAACAAAATTACATGAAGAAAATTGCAATTTCACCTGAGATTTTTTCCCCCACGCAGGAAAACTGTCAACATCAATCAAATAACTATGAATTTTATATTGCAGGAGTCCCGTTGGAATTAAAGAATAACACGGAGCACCAATACTGTAAATACTGTGTAATATGCCTACAAAATGTGCCCGGCTTTATTTCATTGACTTGCATCAACAGTTCTCTCTTGATCTGCCTTACCACTAAAATCAGTCCACCATCTAGACATCGAGGATCACAGTGTGTCCATTAAATTCGTGTCAATATCGACGATACCATCATTTTTAGCATGTGTATAAAATCCCCACATGTAACAAGGCCCAGAGTGCTTAGTGAATGACCGATGATCGCAAACAGTTGCATAAAAATAAAATGAAAAATCATGTGTTTCATTGATATTGGGATGCGCGCCTCAGGTACTGTGTTTATTATTAGAGTGTGTCTGCAAATCGAGTTTATCCATTGCGTTATTGGCCACCCCAGAAGCGTGTGTGCCTGCCAAAGATATTTTTGGGATTAAAATCACCTTTTAAAAGTCATGATTTATCGTTCTCAATTGTCATGTTCACGAGAATTTTTCGCAATAATTTATTTTTTATCCAAAATTAGGAGAGTGGATGGAAAACAACTGAGTATATTTCGTTATTCATGCATGATGAGAAATGATTTTTTTTTTTTCAATTGTTTCCGTCGAAACAATTGCCAGTGGGAGGAGGATATTTGTAGTATATCTTTGTTGTACATTATTAATTCGTTTTTTTTCCATTATTATTGATAACTTTTTTGCAATAATTTTCGTTAAGCCGGTGGACGGTTGGAGGTACAAGTATTATATATGGAGATGTCATAGAATCATCTTGTTGCGCACGTTATCCATTACACGTGCGGACTATAATATGTACAGGCGTTCGTATATAAATATTATATATGTATAGAAATGAGAGGAATAAATAATGTTATAATTTTTAGGGTAAACGATGAATGTTCTTTCGTTTTAATGCTCCGATATAATTCACCTGGATTATATTATTTAAAGTGTTGAGGAGGTGAATTATGAATTATGATACTCGTGTGGATCCTTATGATACTCAGTCTGAGGATTTGTTTATTATTATTTTTTCTCTGGTGATTGTTCTGTTTTTTTTTCAAGCATGATCCCTTTTGAATTGTATATTTGAATCAATTATTTCTCGTTCAATTGGAAAATTTAAAGTGAACCGAGTTTATTAGATAGAACTGTACTAGTCGATTTGACTGTTTGAAATGACCTATGTATTATCGGAAAATCATGATCATGAAGGAAAAATGTGGGGAAAAAGTATATTTTGAACGACTCGTACTGGCATTTAGGTGTTTTTTCCAGTAGTGGAATTAAATATTTGTATTATATCGATTTAATGAGAGAAAGATTATCTATGAATTATCACGGCAGATGTAGTCTAGTTAAATATCAGCAGTTTAGGAGGCACACGGAGGGATCAGATACATTTCCTGTAGCATTAGGTGATTGAATTCACTTGATAAAGTGTTTAAATTCCTCTTTAATATCAGACAATTGGACTTTAATTGTCTAGTGAAAATTTTTAAAAGAGATTATTCAATATTTTACGCACAATATAGGTGAATTCCTCATTAATAATTGGTGAAATTTATTGAGTTGGTTGTTCAATTTGTCTGGTATTGAGGGTCGATGCTAACGAATAATTCAATGAATAATAGAATAATCAGCCCGAAATGTAGATGGCAATCCATCTCTACTGGTCATTAAATGTAACAGGACAATATTACGTGTATTATCCGTACATCATAAAGAAAAGAGAAATGAATATAAGTGCTGTAAACGAAGAGGTACACCTTGCTAGGCTAGATAATCAATAATTACCCATTGATCTAAATGAATTGACAAATTCTACAGGCCCATAAACTCAGTGCACCAGACCATTTGACGATTATAATCCGGTGCATGAATATTTATTCAAATCCTATATATTGTTCGAAAGATGAAGCATATTCTCATAAAAAAACGGCGATTATGACAAAATCCAATGTATGATAAGTAAAATAAAATTGTTGAAACAGATATTGGTATTTCGGCAATAATGGCTTCGATATTTATGGAAAAATCAGACAAACTGCTTTATTGTTAATTAGTTTCTATGCAGACTATGCATTCTGTGGACGCAATGAGGATATTTGAACATTTGTGAAGGGCAATAACATTCCCGGAATGCTATTGCGGCATGCCAATGACAAAATCAACGCTTTAGTCGAATTGAATGAATTGTGAATATGTATAAAATGGGGAAAGGGAATATTCTTTACTCTGTTGCATAACGGGCGAATTCAGTCTTAAATGAAGTAGCAAGTGAAAAACCGAACGTTGAATTGATTGTAGAATTCATTGATTGTTTGTATCGCAGAGAACACGAGCTGAATGAACAATCGTGAGGGATTAGTGGATGAGATATATTGTAGAATATGAACGAAATAAAACAGATGTCCATCGTAATGAGTCAGTTCGAATGAATTTTTTTGAATCCACTTAATCCGCAATGGGGAATCGTTTTCCGGGAATTTTTAGGGGAATGGAAGAGAAGAAATGTGAAACGTTCAGTGAATTTTCAGGTTCATCACCGAACAAAGTAAGAAATTTTCACGTAATTTTTCCCGAAGAAGCAAAGTTTTACGGAAACTTGCCGACTTATTGTGCCTCGAAAATCAAAAATTCTTGAACGTTCAACAATTTTTATGAAGATGGTGAGTTATTTCTACGTTCCGTTCCGTACAATTTCAGTTCCGACTCCCATTTTTTATTGAATTTTACTTCGCTCGCGGATTACGTTTTGAAACGTAATTTTTACGTTTTTTTTTTTGGCAATTTTTATTAAACTAAAATTTACAGTTTTTGTTGGTTTCTGCATTCAAAACGTAATCCGAATAATGCTGATTATTCATGACTCTCGATCATTGATTATCGCTGATTTATGAGACGTGATAACCGCCCAATTTTTTCAGTACTTATTTCATCGAATTATAGTTTAGATGATCCTGTCACAGAGGGAATGGCGTATCCCCTTGCTTACACCGAATAACGAACTGCAATAAAATAATTGAATGACTTGAGGCTTCTCTCGAAAGGATTTTCCCTCCAGAGTGCATTCTGATGGAGATTCATTCACATAGATCGGTAATTCGTAGTCATCGATCATTCAACCCGATTAATTTGTTTGAACGAAGAAATTTACGGAGGATATTCAAAAAATAAAGACATCCAGAAGATATTTCATCACCTCGGCCCTTCGGCCATCTGTTCCCTCTCAATTGCGTGTAAAATAAAGAGAAATTGATCATCTCCGATGTAAATCCAACGAAGCTGCACTTTCATAAACTTCAACGGAATGTTACTCTCGACCGAACGAGTCACATCAACAGTGCTTGAGATCCCGCAAGCGGAATACGCTTGACGCATTCAACAGTTGAAAAAGGTCATAACATTTTCAAAGGTGTCTCCTCAATATCCATCAAAGCATTGAGCAAAAACACTTGACACTATCTTGACTCGTCAGGCAACAAAACGCCTCATGCCGAGTTCTTCACGTAGAAAGTTATCACCGCCTTACGCGATATTTCCGTTTGAAGAGAAGAAGTACCGTGAGACTCGATGCTCACACGTCATTTGATTGTTCCTCCTCGAATTTCCATCGGGCTCATTTACACAGTCATCGGGTTTACAATCCAACTGTGCGGGAATTGTTGAATACCGGAACGATGGTGAGGTATTACGGACGTTTTCCGTTATTTCTATCACATTTTAAGGATGTTCATTCCAGATCGGAAGTACTTGAACAAAAATTGATTTTTTTTTCAACTGAGGGATGACGATATTCCCTTCACTTTGATGCAAATTTCAATCCGCCAACCCATGTTCGTTATTTAGAACTGAAATAGACAAAATGCACCAAATGCATGCGCTGACATGCGCTTATGTGGGATAGAATCATTCAAATATTTCCTCTTTTTACCCCGGTACCTCAGATTTTTTCTGGCCATTGGATTCAGTATGATTTTAAAAATTACCTTCTATTTTTATTTCTATTTTTAGTCTTCTAGTAGGTGAATTATCAATTTAAACAGAAATTTCATAAGAGAGGTGTATAAGGAAAAATTAGTTTATTCATTTCTGCCGAGACTATTGTGATCATTTTTTTTTAACGTTAGAAAAGTTAGTTTTATATGTTCTGCTGTCAGCCGAAAAAATGACAGAATTTTCCTTGATCATGAAAAAAAAACACATTTACCAACAATTTACCAATACTGGCTAAACGTGCTTAAGGAAGTTTATTCAAAATCGCAAGTATTAAAAAAAATTGATTTTGTTTTTAACTGAGAGATGACGATATTCCCTTCACTTTGATGCAAATTTCAATCCGCCAACCCATGTTCGTTATTTAGAACTGAAATAGACAAAATGCACCAAATGCATGCGCTGACATGCGCTTATGTGAGATAGAATCATTCAAATATTTCCTCTTTTTGCCCCGGTACCCCAGATTTTTTCTGGCCATTGGATTCAGTATGATTTTAAAAATTACCTTCTATTTTTATTTCAATTTTTAGAGTCTTCTAGTAGGTGAATTATCAATTTGAACAGAAATTTCATAAGAGCCGGTGTATAAGGAAAAATTAGTTTATTCATTTCTGCCGAGACTATTGCGATCATTTTTTTTTAACGTTAGAAAAGTTAGTTTTATATGTTCTGCTGTCAGCCGAAAAAATGACAGAATTTTCCTTGACCATGAAAAAAAACACATTTACCGACAATGGCTCAACATCCTCAATTCTGAATTTCATGGAAAGATCAATGCGAACTTTAAATTTCAGTTCAATTAAGTAGTGAAGTGGTCAAACGGTTCAATGAATCGATGAATATCTCAAATTCTAAAGGAGTTAGCAAAATTTTCCTGAAAATCTTCTTTGTAAAGAAAAGTGACGACTTTCGAAGAAGATTTTACAAAAATTTCGCTATCTTTTTTAAATTCCGAGTTATTCAATAAAAACTTAACTGAGAGCTAAGTCGACTTAAACCGATTGACCACTTCGCTACTGAATTATTCATTGAAAATTCACCTAGATTGAGGAATCCTCAACGTGTTATCGATGTGTTAATCAACCAATAATTACAATTGGATATTCTTCATTACGATAACAATCACTAATAGAATATGAAACAGTTCAATTGCTCAAATATTGGACAATATTGATCATCGATATTTTCATCAAACTATTGATAAAACAATGAATCTCGTTCCCAATTAATTACAAAAATACATTCCATTGTTATGGATTAACATGTTCATATCAATTATGCAGGTCTCAATTGTATTACCTCGGCGGCTTTACAACACAAATTCTTATCCCGGATCTTCACTGTAGACAAACATAGAAAGGGCATGCTTGTGTGCGGAGGATTCAGACTGATAGAAATCTTGTTGGGAAAAAAGGGTAACCATTGGGAAAGGATTTCTAGTCGTGGAGAGTTTTCTTTTATAACTGAGAAAGCATGAGGTATTCAAAATCGGAGATCTAACGGAAGTGGAATTTCTTCCGTCGAACCCGATGCTGAACGTGTAAAGCGATAATATCGATGGATCGAGCTAATTTACATTTTCATCACGCTGTGACGAAAAGTGAACTTTTCAGCACGCTCCGCGTGCCTAAAAGTCCAATTTCCGCCACATTGTGATGAAAAATATTGTTCGTAACTCGTGAAAAAATATTTTTTAGCACTGGTTACGAAATATACTATTTTGAAGTATTTAATTATCATTGAGCAACTAAAATTATTAGATTCTCATAGGCTTGAATTTAAGACTCATCAGAGATCGGCACAATATTATTTTCATCAATCTTTACATCGCAAATACATATTTTTCACTTAATAGCTAATAACGTGTCAATATTTTTCACTATGTTATGTACAAGTATTGAGAAATTCACTTTTTTCAAATACCGTATCAATGAGTAATAATTAACAATAAAAAACTATCATTTATCTCATCAGGAGTTACACTTGAATATTTTAGAGTAGTCATCCAATCAATAATCAAATCGAAAATATTTCTCGATATTCATCTAATTAATAATGAAATCTATCTCATTAATTGAATATTTTTAGGGAATAGCTGAAATAAGATAGCAAGTTAAAATGGACAATGAACAAGAAATTAGCAGTTAGGTAGTTATAGTGTTTCACATCTTGTGACCTTAAAGGATATTATTGGATACGATTTGTATCTATTACTATGATAATGAAAAATTGATTTGGTTTTATTATTCATGACGAAACAAATTGGGATTTTCTGGTTTTCATTTTCCATTGATATAATAATGAAAATAAATTTTGCACCATTATTGATTGATAAATTATTTGTTTCTTATTTCACTTTCATTTCTCATTAGTATCATTAGTATTATTCATTACGAAAAAATAATAATTCAATTTTTTTAATTAACCATTGATATGGTAAAGAAATATTAATAATGACGTGAAAAAATAAACCGTTTTTCGTGCAATCATTGTCCTGCCTTTTTTCTAAAACTTTTCGGAAATTCATAAAACTAGAAAAAATGCCGGAAAATGATTGCACTCCCCTGAAACTTCGTGAGTCAGTCAATAATGATAGCACGCAAAAACGGTACATTATTTCGCGTCAATCCGATCAATAATTTGCCAGAAAAATAAAAAAAACGTGAATTTTGGCCGAAAGCGTGTGGTACATCCTTGAAAAAATTATCATCCAGCAAATTCCCTTATCTCTCATCTACCTCTGCCCAAACGTGGAGCAGACGAAAGGGCAAGCATGCACACAAAAGATACAAACCGATAGAAATCAGCGCGAAATGAAAAAAGTCCGGGTAACCATCGAGAAAGGATTTCTCCTTGTGTATTTGTCGTCTTCCGCGATCGTTCTGTGTATCGTTTCTGAGAGAGTGACTCGGAAGATTTGTGCGCTGGGTGGCTTTACGAGCGTCACGAGTCATAAAAAAATAACCAATACGACACCGATTCGCGGAGGCGGGTGTTCGGGATCGCGAGGTGAGTCTATGCTTATTTTTCTTCCTCATTTTTTTATGAAATATCTTTTTCCAAGTATTTGCTCCGTTGTTTGCCGTCAGCGTGTGGGTGCCACGGTGGCCCCCATCGTGTCTCATCCCATAAACGATAGATCTTTACTTTCGTTTGGGGCCACGGTTGACCTACGACCCGACACTCGGGATTCACTGCTACGGTATTTTCTTCCGGTCCCGATGCTTTATCTGTTTATTTATTTTTTACATTCCTCCGGGGGTTTATTGCAGGCCTTCCAGGTGAGAATTTCACACTCAATGAGGGGGAGTTCAGGGGTCCCCATCAATATTAAATTTGGCAGTGTCTATTCGCAAGCTCCGCGGTAAATTTTACCGCGGATTCACGGTGATGTTATTTAATTAAGGGCTACAATATTAACC